GCTCTGTCGCTCTATGCAGCAATGGCTCGTCGGCCGCGGCGAGCTCGGGCTCTCCGTCAGCGGTGGGCTCGAGCATGCACTCTGCGCAGCGGGGAGATGGTGGGCTGGGCAATGGGCACTAGGTCCGGAGTGGCGGGGATCCGTGTCTCGCCAGTGTCCACTCCACAAAGGCGGCGAAACTCGGACCTTCCTCGGACGATGGCGCTCTGTATGCCGAGTTTAGACTTGCGTCGTCCGGGTAGCTGGAGAGGTTGGTGAGGACCAGGAACTCTCCCAGTCTATCAGATCCTCCTCCGCTGTCCCTATACCCAGGTCCATACATAGCCCTCAGCCATGTTGCAGTGGGCGGAGCTCCTCTCCACGTTCTCACTGGCCACGGCATTTTCCCCCGTGGTGGGCGTAGTTGCCGGCTCACACACCTTGACTGACGTCATCAGCAGCTCTGGCTCTGCGGCGATTCTTAGCTCTGTTGCTCCGTGCGGCGATGGCTCGTTGGTCGCGGCGGGTTCCGGCTCTCCGTCAGCGGTGGGCTTGGGCATGCGCTCTGCGCAGCGGGGAGATGGTGGGCTGGGCACTAGGTCCGGAGGTTGGTGAGGACCAGGAACAGTCTGGTGTGGTCCTCGAGCGATCTTTCCCCCTGCTCCAGCAGGAGGAGGAGGTATTCGAGATGAAGGAGGGATCCATGAAGGGAACACTATGGAAACAAAACACTGAGCAAAAACGGAAACAAAAACGGAGGGAAACACGGAGGTAACTGTGTGTGTCGGGTCTTCTGTCACGGTTCGCTGCCGGAAGGAATGCAGGAGACGCGTTAAACATTCTTTTAATGATCAGACACAGGAGTAAATCCACAACGGAAAGGGAGAATGACACGCGAACATCACTTGTAGACCCGACAAACAAAGAATGCACAGACAGGAACTCTTCTACATGACATAGCAAGGGAATTGGGAGGAATACAGGTGCACAGCATTACTAATTAGACACGGGAGGAACTGGGTCACGGAGCACATGGGGAGGGAAAACACACACAACATTCCAAGGGCGTGACACTAATGCCGAGTTCACACTGCACGATTTTCAAAGACGTCGCATCACTGTTGGTAAACTTTAACCGCCAACTGTTTATCATGGCTGCTGGAAGTGCATTATTCAAGCATCAAATCAGTCGCATCTTCCTCTAATGCCGAGTTCACACTGCACGATTTTAGCTCCATTTTTCACTTGCCGACAGGTTTTGCGAAATCGCAGACAAATGCCCGAAATC